CTTCTTCCTCTTGAAAAACTTCTTTTGTGATACCCTGTTCCTATTCCGTTGGCTTGCTTGCTGTCATGTCTTCGAGCACCAAAATTTCTGAAAATTTCCTTTTATTGTAACAACCCAAAACAGAAAAGAAAAAACACAACACGCGGCATATTAACCCAGGGAGTTGCTAAAAGCTAATAAAAAATAGAGAAAATGTGTCATGACACAGATGCGTTATGCTGATGTCAGATGTGATAGGAGGGAATTGGATGGAGTTTGATGTGTCCAGAGACTGGAGAAAACACATGTCATAATTATCGTGACAACGACTACACAAGGGTCAGATAGAGACAAGAGAATACGAATGGATAAACTCACGACAAGCTGGATTAGGCGGGATGATCATTATGCTTCCACAAGGCGTCAAAAAAGCCCTTTGCATTCCCCAAGGCAGTGGAAATAACAGATCCCGGAGAGACTGGAGAAGCAGAGTTCATGGTGGGGGATTTATCTTCCACAGGCGAAGTCACACCCGCACTCAGCCGTCGGAGGTGCTTTTCAGACGCAGAAGCCCCCGGTGACCCAAGTTCAGATCGCGTCGCCACAGCAGGAGTGACATGACTCGTGGCAATCGACGGGACATTGCCAGTACGGATGGTAGGTGGAGGGGTAGTCGGTCCAGTCGTCACCGAGGATTTCGAGCTGACACGACGATGGCTGGAAGGCGTAGAAGGCGAAGCAGATGCGTTCGAAGACAGCGACGAGGAAGCGGATGCAAGATTGGACGAGCGAGATTTAGAGGCGGACTGAGATGCAGATGCAGGTTGAGGGACGACAGTAGCACTCGAAGAATTGGATCCATTCGAGGTACTGGATGCCAAAGACGTGCCGGATGTGCGAGGCTTGAGAGAAGTTTTTGCAAGTAACAAGTCACGATGCAAGGAAGTGGTGCCCGATTCATCAATCGCTGGTGAGCGGTGCGCCTTGTCGGCCGGAGAAGGTGGAGTCGCGGGTGATTCCAATTCGCCGTTCCTCCAAAAAGAGCCGGTAGATTCTGAACCAGAGAGACTCGCAAAACTGTCATTGTTTTGCTTATCTCTCAGGTCGCTCGCGGACGACTGCTTGGATGAGGGCTTGGCCGACGGTGGTTGAACAACGAGGCTGGGGACTGCATTCTTGGTCGGAGAAGTAACGAGTTCGAGGTGAGGCTGTTGTTGTTGCACTGGCGTTGTCTTGTTGCTAGCTGCAATGTTGGAGGAAGAACTGGAACGCTGAAGAGGAACTGGAGACGACAATTGGCCAGCAATGTTGGAAGAGGACCCAGTCCGTTGAAGACCCGAGGGCTTGCTGTTACTGCTACTGCCACCGACTATGTTGGTCGAAGAACTCGAGCGTTTGAGGCCAGTGCTCAGTCTCGGTTGCTGAGTGGAATTCTGTAGGCTCGTCTGAGCAGGGATATTGCTAGAACTAGACGTTCGAACCAACCCAGGTGTACTAGTAGCCTTGGGGGTCGTATTGACAATCTGAGCTAGGTCCCCCCCATCCACCTTCTCCTCTTCTTGCACAACCGCTGCATTCCTGCCCGTTCGGGCATCCAGACTCCATAGGGAAGAATCTGCTTCATACCGCAACGAACTTCCGTTCCTCACCGAACCAGAGGGTGCAATGATGACAGAGCCACCACTGGATGGAATATACCCTCCAACAATACCCACAGACGACGATGAATGGGGCGATAAGCTGCCAATGGGGCTTGAACTGCTCGTCGTGCTACTCCGCTCTCGCTCCGATATACTAGAAGATGAAGCCGTCCTCAACAACGATCGTCCACGACGCGGTCGGTCTTCATCACTAACCACCCGTGGTGACCGTCCACGACCCACCTCCTCCATATCAAAATCTCTCGACCCCGAGACCTGGGCTGCCGAATGGCTCCTGACGAGTCCACCACCATTACCACTAGCAGATCCATATCTGGACGAGCCGGAGCGGCCCGACAGCGCCGATGTATGCCCGACCATATCGACACCCTCAAACGAAGCACCTCGGGGGCGGTTTCTATTCGAGCCGCTTCTCGCGCCCGCCGCTGTCACCAAACCTCCAGTAGCATTATTACTGTTAGCGCCGGTAGAAGTCGAAGAGGAGCGCGCCGAAGATATCGAAGCTGATAAGAGACTTGATGGAGGGCCAGAACCGATCACCACACCCTCATCCTTTGACCATCCAGAGCCCGGTGGAGCGTCCGAATTGGATACAACTCTTCGGGGAACACCGAGTGGCCTCGATTTCGTCGGTGAGAGACTGTGATCGTCGTCGCGCGAGGCCACGACTTCTCGATGGCTCACAAACGGTGGCGAGACCGACGTATTCATCACACTGTCCCTATATTTCTTGGAGAACGCACTCTTGCGCGGGACAGGTTGCGAAGAAGAGGGGGACTGGGGAGAGGTGGGACTCGTCGTCACATCTTCGCCATCCACCCATTTCGACGACGAACCCTCTTGCCGGCTGAACCCACTTCCCCGTGGTGAACGGATGCCTCCAACTTTACGCGTTCGAACGGTGATGGCATCCTCGTCCTCTTCTGTGTAGATGGATTCTCGTGGGGGCTGCTCGTGGGGGACCACCTCTACCTCGCCATTCAACGGCACGCCCGAGAAATAATCAACCACTTCGCCCTGATCATACCAATTCCCAGACTCTTCCACCCAATCCTCTTGACTGCCTGCCCTCCGTCGATCAGCAGGGACCGCGAAATGGGGTCGGGAAGCGAAATGAACTTCATATCGTAGCGCTTCCTCATCAACCCCACTGGGAGCCACAAACACAACGGCGGGACTGGGTGCAGGAAGCTCATCATTGCCCTTGAGCAGAGTGGGAGCGATGGGCGCCGTGATCATGGTCATTTGAGTCGCTCGAGCGGTCGGAGGTGTGTTTGGGTCGGAGAAGGAAGCCCTGCTGTTGGAGGATCCTCTTCGACTGGAAGACAAGCTGGAACCTGAGGAAGAACGCATTTGCAGCACCGTCTCTTCGTCGTCCTCATCATCCGAACCCGACTCGGACGAAGAACGTGCATATACAGTCGACAGCCGAGTTGAGACGGGATCGACCACGATGCGCTGCTCGACAAACGAGTTGAAACTGATGTGGCGCCTCGGCTTGGTCGTCGCCCCATTGTTGGTAGAATCGTCAGAGACTTGGTACGAGGATGAAGAGTCGGATCGTTGACCACGCCGTTGAGGGTGATGATCGCTGCGTTCGGGAGGACTGAGGGAGGTAGACTTGGACAGTAGATCGGTGCTGTTATCTCTGGGTGGGCTGAGACCGTGAATGCTCGCTGGGCTGGTGGAAAGCGTAGAGGACATGGGTTGACGGGCGAGAATGGAATCCGACTTTGTATGCCACAGAGGAGGGCGAGAAGGAGCTTGCAGGACGCCTGCGGCCGGAGGAAGCGTCGATGGTTCTGATTCGAGGACCAGCTCTTCTTTTGCGTCGGCGCTTTCCTCAATCTGCTCTGATACCGCCTCGTAGATTGGGGAACTCGAGTGTTGGGGAGCGCGTGGCGGGATAATTGCCATGGCGAGGATGTCGGTAATGGACCTTTTCTTGAGAATAGGCTTTGAGGCAGGTGTGGCTTGAGAAGATCGGGAAGGGGATATGTCCTGCTTGACGTTCGACTTGGGCTTTGGCATGTCAATGCCCAATTTCTCCGCGGCAGAGGCGGTCTTTGTAGGAGGAACAGCGGGAGCTTGATGTAGCGGGCCATATAGCCATGTCACGTCGCTGTCCTTGAGCCTGTTTTGTAAGAGCAAAGCAGTCGTTTGTCAGTTACACGACTCGAAAAAGAGAGGGGAAGAGTGGGACGATAAAAAAAGGGATAAATCGATTGAAATCTTGTATAGGACTGTATGGAAAGAAAGATGCGGCGGGAAAGCTATGCGAGAAGGAGTGAGAAGGAAATGGGTCTGTGTTCTGGCGGGTAATCTGTGCGGTTATCGGAACTTGTGGCTGGCGCAAGATTCCAACCGACAAACGATATTAAAAATAAAGGAAATGAAGACTAGGTGTGCCAGAGGGATCACTGGGCGGGTTGATTACGAGATGGGAATCAGGCAAAGCCTGGACTGGGCTAGCAGAGATGCTGGCGCCGCGAGGAGTTTGTTCACATGATGGTCCGTACGACCGGCTCATGACCGTGACAAACACGCAGACGGACAGGGAGGACAGTGAAGGAGATGAAAAAGGGAGGAATAAGAATAAAAGTGTCCGACAGTGCTGTTGGCTAGTGGGAGGAGGAGGGGTGGGGCGGGGTTTCGTGTTGAAGGCGAGTAGCAGCCAAAATTGCCAGGGAAATAGACAAGCACTCACCAGTTGAGGGTTTCGGGAGAGATGGTCTTTAGTTTGTTTCTCTGCTTCCACCATGTCCGCCAGGAAGCGTTTTCGAGACGCATGCCGTTTGCAATCTCGTATTTGGCGCGAGTCATGGACCTCCATGACCTCCAGACGTCTTCCTCCTTCCACTGATGGCTGAGGTAGTCGACACAGATCTTGGGGAGGGTGGGATCGAGGTCACCATCGTCTGGCAGGGCCCCAGCGATTGGTTTTATGGCCGAGGGAGTGTACTGGGCCATGCAACGAACTCTGCGGGGGAGAGAACGTTGTTGTGCGGATGAGATGAAAGTGTGGAGGAATGGTTGTGTAGCGTGCTGAGGAGGAGAGAGGGGGAGAAGTGATGTCGCTTTTTGGATTTGGTTCAGTTCAAGTGACAAAAGGGGGGGCTGAGCGGGTAGGGGGTAATGGGGGGGACCGGCAGCAGCATCCGGGACTCCTTTTGATTGTCGATTTGAGCCAAAAAGGTCATGCGCCGACGTGCAAAATAGTTTGTTCACCCACATGATTGTGAAACGTAGCAGCGACAAATCCACGAAATAAATATGGAGGACATTCATGTCGGCAAAGCGAGCATTGAGTCGAGTGATCCCATGACTTTGCCAGTCAATGTCGCTGCTCCAAGCGGGGATGGATACATTTTATATCCACTTATTACGTTACATATCGCTACACCAAAAACATGATCCCAAGTATGCTCGCAAATGCTTGATAGACACGACAGCTATTGCCCGATAATGCCCCGCCCTCACCGCTCGCTAAACAAGCACGAGTAAGTACAGATTGCGAGAGAAACGTGACTTTGATAACGAGATAGATAAGTCAGCCACGAGACTTTATTGCTATTGCCATCGATCACGTCTCCTTCCAATCGAATCGAATTCACGACATTATTCGACTCGTCGCCCGTTCGGAGCCTTCTCCGACGTCTGCTACGCCGCCAGGTCCACTGTCTATCACATCATCGTCCTCCTGATCTTCCTCTCAACGGAGACTGGCCACCTCACTTCGCTTGTCTCACTATCACGCACAAGCGGGGGGGTTAGCACGGTGCGGTGGGGCGGGGGGACAGCGGAGAGGGTCGAAAAAAGCTTCATTCACTGCGACGCGAGTTAAATAGTTGGTGGTGGAGATGTATTGGCAAAGCCCCAGCCTACTCGATAAACAGCACAGATAACAAAACAACGAGAGAAAAAACGCACGCGCGAACAAAACACGGGCCGTCGACGGTGGTTTTTGCCCATAGCCCTGGGAACGACGCGGCAGGGGGTTCCGACGGGGAGAACAAAAGGGGGTTGTACAGAGAGGTGTACCTCTGTGAACCTTGGTTATCCTTGGTCATAACACCCTTTTGACTTTTTTAATCTTCCCGAAAGTCATATGGCGACCATCGACCAAACAGGTAATTGGCACGCATGATCACCAGGTCTCGCAGCATCTCAAGCGACGCCCCGGCAATGTTCAGCTTGCTTCCTGGAATCTCCTGCCAGTGCACCGGAAGCTCCATCACGGGGATGCTCAGGTATTGCGCAATCACCAACAACTCGACGTCAAAAATCCAGGTGGGCAAGTGCAGGGGTGGAAACACTTGCTGAGCGGCTGCACGGTTAAACAGCTGCGGAGACAGATTAAATGACAGAGGTAAAGGAGATAATGTAACTACTCACTTTGAATCCACATTGTGTATCTCTGATATGTCCGACTCCGAGAATCCGAAGGATGGTGTGGAAACTCTTCATTAAAAAGTTTCGTATTTTGGACCTCTGCATCTCACATCAGTTAAACTCGTCAACAATAGAGAGCGTTTGCTGACCTTGACAACAGCTTCACTGTTTACCAAATGTGCCCGACTTCCAATGGCAATGACTGGCTCCCCCTCCTTTTCCATTTCGTTCATCTTGGACCAAAGCACCTCCAAATCCGAGAACCGGGTCGCATTATCTGCATCGACAAACAATATCCTCTCCCCTCGTGCATGCATAAACCCATGCTTGACCGCACCTCCCTTACCCCTATTCGTTTTCAGTCTCACCACACGAATCTCGTCTTTGGTGCCTGTCTTTGCATGTGACTTGGAGAGTTTAAGCGCGAGTCCTGACGTGTCATCTTTGGAACCGTCATCCACGATGATAATTTCAAACGAACGGCGTGGTTTGAGAGAACGAAGGTGCTCGAGCGTAGAGTCAATCATGGGCTTGAGACGAGCTGTTTCATCATATGCAGGTACGATGACCGATAGTTGCACGCTGGCAGGGTCCCCTAGGGACGGCAAGGGCTGCGGCTCCTCCGGGTTGCTTGCGGAGAGGTATGTGAAGTCTTCCGGAGCTGGAATCGCTTTTGAGGGTAGCAACAAGTGTACGAAATCACCCAGCTAAACGTCGTGTAAAGTAACATGTCAGCGTGTGTCGTGAAAGAGAGATGTAGGAGGTATGCGCTGGAGGTCAGTAACGACTCTTAATAAAAGCCGTTAGGCCAAGTTGTGTCACCACAAGGACGACGAGCTCGTTGAGCACTCGCTCTTCATGAACAAGGATGTACGGCAGTATCATCACGCAACAAGAGTAGAGATACGAGAGAATTGGGTGTGTCGGAAATGAATGGGTTTGGAAATTTCTGTCGAGGCTGGTGCGTGGGACGTAGGCCAGATCTCACTCACCGCTACGATTATTACGACGAGAATTATCGCGAGAATAGGTAGTAAATCATCTGGACGGACTCCTTCTAGACCCATGAGCTGGCAGAGGTGGGATGGGGCAAGGCTATGGTGGACGTGTGCAAGCTTGGAACTCTACCTTGTCCTTCGACGTCCTCTATTTTTTCCTTTTTCGCTCCTCACCCCGTCCCTCGCTCACCTCGTGCAATATGATGCAGTATAATCAATATAACACAAATCAATATCAGAGCAATTATGGTAACCGCATTACATCGCAGGGGCATCAGCAGCATCATCTTCAGCAGCAGCAGCAGCAAGGTCCACCCCCCGGTCTTTATAACACCCAAAATCAGCAGCAACAGCAACGCCAACGAATACCTCCACATCACTTGCAGCAGCAACAACCACATCAGGTTCAACAACAGCATGCTGCAACGATAGCCGCGGCCCAACAGCAGCAACAGCAGCAACAGCAGCAACAGCAGCAGCAGCTCCCCCACCCACATCAGCACCAGCATCAGCAGCTCTACACCACCCATGACCCCAGAATGGGCCCAGATGGTCCTCCTCTGGACGATGAAAAAATGACAGAGCTCGTTGCCTCCATGTACAGCATTGAAAAGCGCGAGGCCGCGCTATTGGAGCTGAGCAAAAGGCGCGAACAGTATGACAATCTCGCACTCGTCCTGTGGCATTCGTTTGGGATCATGTCGATCCTGCTCACCGAGATCATCGATGTCTATTCCCTCTTGTCCCCTCCTTCCCTCACCGCTTCGGCCTCCAACAGGGTTTGCAACGCACTGGCCCTCTTGCAGTGCGTGGCCTCCCATCCAGAGACGAGGAGTGGCTTTTTGGCTGCTAATCTACCACTACTCCTCTATCCGTTCCTCAATACCACGTCGAAAACGAGGCCATTCGAGTACCTTCGACTTACCTCTTTGGGGGTGATTGGCGCATTAGTCAAACCCGCCGGAAACGAACCCGTCAATCCGGCGGACAATGCTCAAGTGATCAACTTCCTTCTCACCACCGAGATTATTCCGCTTTGTTTGCGCATCATGCAACACGGCACGGAACTCTCCAAGACAGTCGCCATTTTCATCGTCCAGAAAATCCTGTTGGATGAGATCGGATTGACCTACATTTGTCATACCTATGAACGCTTCCATGCCGTCGTCAATGTTCTTGGTTTGATGGTCAATGATTTGACGCATACCCATGCCGTGCGCCTTCTCAAACATGTCGTTCGATGCTACCTTCGATTGAGCGACAATCCCAAGTGAGTATCCAAAATTCACGACAATATTCTAGCCTTTCCATTCTGACGCCAACTCGTTTTTTTCTAGAGCGAGAGAAGCCCTTGCAAACTCTATCCCCGAAGCATTGAAGAACAAGCATTTCGATGCCCTCCTCAAGGTGAGCAAAAAAGAACCATTTTTATTCTTGTTCGCATTTACTAACGTTTTGTCATTCAGAGTGACATGGTCACCAAACGCTGCCTCCAATCCCTCCTCGCCACTGTTTATCCTCCAAAAACCCCCGAACCTTAATTCTATTGATAAGAAAGGGGTGTCGGGGGCACGACAATCGTATAACGCATATCCTTCCATTCGTCGGTCCCTGCATCTCATTATCATGAATCAACTTCATCACATCAACCATGTACATCAACAAATTCAACCTTCAATATCCCTCTTGTGATTCTTCGGCAACTCACCACTGTACGATCTATATCAATAGCCTGCGTCATGGTCTGCTTTCCCGTTCCCACGTCTGCCCTAGAAAAGTGTCTCCTTTTTGCAATCTCCTACACCATATCC